GATAGTGAACTGTAAGTCTGGATTGGAAAACTCCCATCTTTTCTTTCCAGAAAAAGTTTCTGACTATTTTTATAGGTTTATTCATTTGCACATGGGATCAGCCTACTTTTGTAGAAAGAGCTAAATATAATATTTTTAAGCCTTCCAGGCCTGTAGGTTTATCACTAGTCTGTCCTGCCTTTGTAAGGAAGGTAAAAGAGCAATAGACAGAATGGGGGAAATGGGCAGGGTGTGTTCCATACACATTTTATTTGTGAAAACACGTGGTAGGCTATAACTGACTGTGAATCATAAATCGCCAAATTTTCATCTAGATGAAATTTGTAATATGTTGGCCAAGAGCCTAGTATAATGAATTGGCTCATTTCACCCCATCATTGAAACTGTTAACTGGGGCTGGTGTTGTGGCGTAGTGGGTAAAACTGCCGCCTACAGTGCCAGCATCCCATAAGGATGCCAGTTCCAGTTCTGGCTGCTCCACTTCCAATCCAGCTCTCTGCTAAGGCCTGGAAAAACAGTGGAAGATGGCCTAAGTCCTTACGCCCCTGCACCCATGTGGGGGACCCAGAAGAAGCTCCTGGCTCCTGGCTTCAGATTGGCGCAGCTCTGGCCATTGTGGCCATTTGGGGAGTGAACCAGTGGATGGAAGATTTCTCTCTCTCTCTCTCTCTCTCTTTTCCTTCCTGTAGCTCTGTCTTTCAAATAAATAAATAAATCTTGAAATAAAATGTTAACCCCCCCTTTCTATGACTAGGCTATATGACAACTCTCACACTTCGGTCAACTACTTTTCTTACAAGTTTTATTTAGAATAATTTCTGCATATAGAATGAGAATACTAAAATTTTTTTGCATAAAACCATAATATTGTGTACATTCATATTTCAATTGGCGAGTATTTGGTTGAGAAATTTTGCATCTATGTTCATAGGCAAAATTGGTCTGTAGTTCTCTTTTTTCTGCTGTATGTTTTTCCTGTTTAGGAATTAGGTGATGTTGGCTTCATAGAAGAAGTTTTGAAGGAATCCCTCCCTTTAAAATATTTTGAATAGCTTAAGAAGAATTAGAATTAGTTCTTCTTTAAATGTTTGATGGAATTCAGCAGCGAAATCTCTAGTCCTGGGCTTTTCTTCTTTCGACAGGTTTTTATTACTGATTCAATTTCTCTCATTTATTGTTCTGTTTAGGTTTCCTATGTCATCATGGCTCAGTTTTGGTAGGTTATATGTGTCCCATAAGTGGTTTTTTTTTTTCATAGGCAGAGTTAGACAGTGAGAGAGAGAGACAGAGAGAAAGGTCTTCCTTCCATTGGTTCACCCCCGAAATGGCCGCTATGGCCAGCACACTGCGGCAATCTGAAGCCAGGAACCAGGTGCTTCCTCCTGGTCTCCCATGTGGGTGCAGGGCCCAAGCACTTGGGCCATCCTCCACTGCCTTCCCAGGCCACAGCAGAGAGCTGGACTGGAAGAGGAGCAGCCGGGACAGAATCCGGCTCTCCAACCGGGACTAGAACCCAGGGTGCCGTGCCAGCACCACAGGTGGAGGATTAGCCAAGTGAGCCGCGGCGCCGTCCATAAATTTTGATATGTTGTATTGTCATATTCATTTGTTTCAAGAAATTTTTTGATTTCTCTTTTCATTTCTTCTAAGACCCACTATTCGTTCAGAAGCATGTTGTTCAGTCTCCATGTGTTTGCGTAAGATATAGATTCTTGAGTTGTTGATTTCCAGCTTCATCCCATTGTGGTCAGAGAAGATGCATGGTATGATTTCTATTTTTTTTTTTAATTTGCTGAGGCTTGCTTTATGGCCTAGCATGTGGTCTGTCCCAGAAAAAGTTCCTTGCATTGGTGAGAAGAATCTGTTTCCTCACTGAGAGTGTTTTGTCAGAAGAATTCTGCAACTGCGTGGTGAAAAGTTCTGTAGATACCTGTTAGGACCATTTGGTCTATAGTGTCAGTTAACGCTGTTGTTTCTCTGCTGGTTCCTGTCTGTCTGTCCATTGCTCACAATGGGTGAAGTTTGAACTGCTGAAGATTCCCCAGAAAAGGCTACTGAAAGGAGAAATGGGATGGATACTCTTCATCTATTCACTCCTATCCAACCTCTACTCACCACTTTTCTGCATAACAGTGATCTCTAAACAAAGCTTCATAGCTTATTGCATTAAGAATGACAATTGATATAGGAGAATAATACCATACGCTTCTTTCTGATAAACAATATCTATTTCTTATACATTTAAATTTTAATTAGCATATCAGTCATGTGTCTATATTCATTTTTTTCAAGATTTATTTATTTATTTATTTGAGAGGCAGAGTCACAGACAGAGAGAGAGAGAGTGACAGACAGAGGGGTCTACCTTCTGCTGGTTCACTCCCCAAATGCCAGCAATGGCCAGAATTGGGCTGATCTAAAGCCAGGAGTCAGGAGCCTATCCTGTATCTCCCATGTGGATGCAGGGGCCCAAGCACATGGGTGTAGGGAACATAGCTTCTAACAAAACACTCTCAGTGAGGAAACAACCTCCTAGGAATAGGGTGTAGTTGCAGAAATGTGGGGAACAAGGTTTCTGCCAAAGCTTTCTCAGTGAATTCAAATCCACTTGAACACAGGGTGAGACTGCTTAAGGATAATAAATGACCTACTAACAAGAAGAGCATTGAGCCCTTATGGGAACATTGGCTCCCACAAGAACATGCAGCTGTTTTCCCAGACATGCTTATTTAATGTCTTGCTAAACATGTTTCAAAGAAATCTTAGTTAAATGAGAACGCGAATGCACTATACAAATGGCTGATGGAATCCTTGTCAACAGAAAAAACGCTGGGATTGTCCGGAAGTGCTTCTTCAGAGGAAGAGTCCTCATGTCCTGTCTCTTCTTTCACTTGCACTCCCAATACTTGGACCATCCTCCACTGCTTTCCCAGGCCATTAGCAAGGAGCTGGGTCATGAATGGAGCAGCCGGGACTTGAACTGATGCCCATATGGGATGCCAGTGCCACAGGTGGAAGCTTAATCTACTTTGCCACAGCACCAGCCCTAGTGGTATATTCTTGTAGACATATGACCTTATAAAGTAGTATACATTCTTGAGGTTAGTAAACATGTTGAGGGCAGCAATGATGAGTCAGTTATAACTGCAATACTGAAAGACAGCCTGGGGCTAGAGAAGAATGAAAGAAATGTTCAAAGGAAAACAGAGATGAACTGTCATTTTGTCCTAGGTATGTAAAGAACAACTTATTGACAAATTATCCAGTCAGTATGTCTTTTTCAGTGCACCATTAGAGGTTCTTGATGTCAGCATGTTTTTATTGAAGATGTCAACTTTGATCATTTGGTTAAATTGAATATCTCTCCTTTCTGAAGAAACTGTGCCCTGAAATTGACCACATTACTATTCATAGCAATTTTCATCACCTTTTTAAATTATATAAATCATTTCTTCTTTTTCTTTTAACAGTACAATTCTCCTTTTTAGGGTGTACAAACTGTTTCCCAGTATTTTACAATTATAAACAATGAAATAATATGTAAATTTGTGAGCTTCTGTTTTGTGGTTGCTGTAGGTATAGTCTCAGGATAAATGCATGCAGTGTGATTGCTGGGTCAAAAGGTAGATGCACATGTAGTTTTACTGGGCATTGCCAATTTTCCCAACTTAAGTGTTTCACTGATTTGCATTTGAGCAATATATCAAAATACCTGCTTCCCCAAAGACTCCCTAATGGAATAATTATCACATTTATTTTGTCTATATGACAAGTTAGACTGGGGAACTGGTAGTAGTTGAATTTTTTCTTTCTGATATGTTATTTTTCTCTCTCTGCATTGTTGTTTAACGTAATATTGGGACTTTTCTGATATATATATTGCCTAGATGCATAGTTTCTCATGGTTTAGAGGAGAGATTTTGAAAAGATATTTACTATACCATCTCCATTGTCTACAGCTATTGAGAATCCCCTGTAAGTTTGTGGAGTCAATGAACATTTACTGATGGTCTTGGCTCATTATAGTTGTTTATTTTTTCTCAGCAATAGAGCATTCATCCAACTAGAAAAACAATTATATGACAATTTGTGCTTTATGTGCATTCCTCTGACATGCTGGGAAGAGTACTAGCATTTTATGTTCATGTTTTTATTGACTACTCAAACCATTCTTGCAAAGAAGAGTTTATTATTTAACAGTAAATGAATTGAAGCACAGGGACATAGAGAATAAGCTAGAAAATCAAACAGCTGAGACTTAAACTGCATTTGTTTAAACTACATTTATCCTGCTTCAATGTCTATGCTATTCACCCAAGTTCATTTCCCAGTAGTTACTGTGGATGTGACCCTGCAAAAGCCTTTATATAAAAGATTCACATTGGCTCTGTAAATCACCATGTCCTCTCCTAAAAGAGAGCAATGCGAAAGCTTTCGTTTTCATTTTCAAGAGTGGGTCAAAGGATGGAAACAGTTCAGGTAATTGCTGATAACTTGTGATCAGTTACAACACAGAGAAGCAATGACAATTCAGTTGGAGGGTGCCAATTCAGTTTTATGAGTTTTAAGCACTTAAATTGACTGTCAGAGTTTTATTTCAAAATGCACTAGATTTTGGTTTTAAATTATCAAGTGATAGGGCTATAAATTCTATGTAATCAATTTATATGATAAGAACATGAGACATATGAGTTTAATATCTGATTATTATTTTCTCAGCAATTTTTTGTAGCTTAGAGCAATTTCCTTAGGTCATAAACAACTTAATTATTGATGAATTCAAGAAGCATGGATTGTTAGTTCAACAAAATAATCATGGTATTAATTTGAATTTAAAATTAGAAATGTGTGGGCAAAATTCTAACAATTGAGCATAAGTCAAACTCACCAGAAGTAATCAAATTCCATGGTTGTGATCATATTAACTTTTTTAAGTACTAGGTGTGAAGAAGTTAGATTCATTCATTGTAAACTCAATAATCATTTTCAGAAGTTTTAAACTAGAGAACAAAGAAATAATCAAATAGTTCTAGAAATAGCTTCCTTATAATTTGTATCTTCATTGCATTTTTCCATATAGTTGAAAAAAATGAACCTGGAAAACACAGAAAATTATTATATATAAGTTCCTACAAACATTTTAAAATACTATATGACAATTTGGGATTCAGCAGCTTTATTTCATTTCCTTCCTTATAATTTAGTGAAAAACATCATAAATTATACCAAGAAAAGTACATGTGGCCCATCATTGTTTCATTATTGGTAGTATCATTTAACAATACCTAATCTGCCAATTTTATTTCATTACCTTCCCATGAATTGAGCAGTAAAATCATTAATGATATTAGAAAAGTATATGTTGAACATTACTGCCGTATTATTGGCAGGAGTTTAATGTTAACTAATGTCTGAAATGATGGGCATTCATTAAAAGAAATATTAGGTGTCTATGAAACAAAATGAGTGAGCTGAATCAACTCAATTTCTGGAAAACACTGCAAAAAAAAAATCTCCAAAGAATGAGGGAGACACTCTGTTCCTCATTGTGCTAAGGTAAGCTGGGTACAGATAGAGAATGTGGCATTTGTGCCATTACTCAATTAAGAAGAAAGTTCAACCACATGTCATCTAAACCATTTGGGGGATTCTGTTTGTCTGATGAATACAAAGGTTTAAAAGATATATTTAATTCATTCACTTTGAATTTTCTTAATTTATATCTCTCAGATTCAATTTTTACTTTAAAAAACAAAATAGTATAATAAAGGTTTTTGTTTCCTTCAGTGCACATACAAGAAAATGGGGGTGATATGTTAATTTTCAAACTTGTAATAAGAGAATACTTCTGCTTTTCACTTTAGTAGGCAATCTGGCATTTAGACAGCTGGGGCAAATGACTTTCTACATGAGTAGCAGTATTGGATTGAGGGAGTTCAGAGAAGTCAAATTGCTAGTCATTTTACTGAAAATTCTTTAGTAAAATAAAAATCAAGAAAAAGATCTTATGAGTAAATTTAGGAATAACTGCATGTGTATGGTACAAAAATGGTCTTCAGTGCACCAATATCAATACAGACTTCAGGAGAAAGGACAGGCCATGAGTGTGAACATCAAAATGTGTGCTTATTCAGTGATCCTGCTATATATCAAGAGTTTTGTTAAAGAAATGAAATACATTCCCAGAGGATGTTGTAATCTCCTTTCTAGAGTATGTGTAGTAATGTCTACCTCACTTGTCTAATTATTTCCTTTTTATCTATTTGACATAATATTGATGTTATAAAGCATTCTTTTAAGATCCTTACCTGTCAGTTGATCAACACTGCAAAGAATATCTAGAGCTGACAGAACCATGTTTTGAAGATAAGTAAAGTCACTGATGAATGGTGCTACATCAGTTTCGACAAGGATCCGTGGTGGCAGGCCCTTCTGGGATTCATGTACTCTAACCATGGTGGTAGGAATGAGGGCTGCAGCTAAATATTCCACAGCCACTGTCCAATTTTTCCCAAACTCTGCTTCTGATTTAGAATAATAAATAAATCTAGAAGACAAGTGTAAATGTTAACAATTATAATTAGTCACCTCTGAATTTCAAACTCATTTTCTTTATAAAAGATCATCTTTTGCCAACAAGCTAAATTCACAACACTGATATTTTAATTATAAATTCTATAGTGCAATGACTTCAGCCCATTCCTTTAAAGCGGGAAGGATCATCCTACTAGCAGAGATGCCAGGAACAGAGATTCCTGTTCCCTCTGTAAGAAAAGAATTTCAGACGGGAGAAATTGGCAGTAATCAGGCTAGTAAAGCTTGATGAAGCAGTACACCTGACAGGACAGGTGAATAACTCGGCAAAGAGCTGAGTGTCCAGTCTGCATTTAGACTGAGGTTTATATGGGTATGCGGTCCAATTCTTCCCACTCTTTCTCCCTCCTTGCCCCTCTTCTTCTGGGTATCACTGGTCAAAGGACTTGCCAGGTACCAAATTCATGAAATTCCTCCCGGGTCCTTATTAGAGTGTTACCAGACTGAATAGCCCTTTTAGTTCCAGGCCAGGAAGATTCTCCTAGATTGGCTCTGTGGGAAAGGCTGAGTCCACCACCACAGTCTGCACCCCTTTTCCTGCACTGCAACATTATCAGACACAGGCAGCACTTTTGAAATGTAAATATTGGGCTGCATCCAAAACATGCTTCTAAGACTGCTACATTCCTTTCCGCACAAATTTCCCTTTGGCTCCTTTTACACACGTCATATAGTAGCCACCTTCTACTGTAACAGTGTAATGCACAGGCGGTAACTTATATAACTTACTAGACTTTAGGGGAAGTGGGCCTCATTATGGTTAATGGAACCTTAGAATTTCTTAACACCATGCTTTTCCTCTTTCAGATTCCAGTCAAATAATATTTTGCAGCTACTTATCCATGCATAACATGCTCTTGTGTTCCACCCATGTCAAGATCAAGCCATAAACGCTCTTCCAGCATTTTTCTCAATAAACTGCACTAACATGTGAGATATATATGTGTGTGTGTGTGTGTGTATGTGTGTGTATATATATATATATATATATATATATATATATATAACAAATCCTGCTATTGAATCTGCAACTAGTTTCAACATTTGGCTGTTTGTTCCTGTGCCCCTATCTCTAATTCCTGTTGTACCCACTAGTCATGTTTTCTAAGCACAGCATCCATTTCTGAACTCCTTAAAAAATCTGAAGTACTCTCACCTGGTAGTTTTTGAGACAGTAGTCTTCTACCTCCTCATCTATCAATAGATTAAATCTTCTCTTTCCTTTATCCTCAAGCCTTATCTTCATTATTCTAATTTGACACCACTGATATGGACCAGGCTTTTGGTAATACTGCCTCACATTGCCCTCAATTTTATTTTTCATTTTGTCTCTTTGAATTAGACATATTATATTTGAATACTCTATGATAGCCAGATTTATACATTATTACTTAGTTTAAGAAGAATCCACAAAATAGCATCATCTAATATAAATTCATAGAAATTGACAAACTAGAGCTTATTTGTTTTTTTATTTAATAAATGTGAATTTACAAAGTGCACCTTCTGTATTGTTGTGGCTCCCCCCACAACCTCCCTCCCTCCTGCGGCCCTCCCCTCACCCACTCCCTCTCCCATTCCACCCTTCATCGAGTTTCATTTTCGATTACCTTCATATACAGAAGATCAACTTAGTATACACTAAGCAAGGATTTCAACAGGCTGCCCTCACACAACCGCACAAGGTATAGGGTATTGTTCAACTAGTAGTGTTGTTTTTAAGTTTCATAGTAAAACACATTAAGGAGAGATCCTACATGGGGAGCCTGTACCCAGTGACTCCCGTTGTTGATTTAACAATTGGCACTTTTATTTATGACGTCAGAAATCACCCGAGGCTCTTGCTATGAGCTGTCTAGGCTATGGAAGCCCCTTGAGTTCACCAACTCTGAAGTTGTTTAGTCAAGGCCGTATCACAGTGGAGGTTCCTTCCTCCCTTCAGAGAAAGGCGCCTCCCTCCTTGATGGCCTGTTCCTTCCGCTGGGGTCTTGTTCACCAAGATCTTTCATTTAGGTTGTTTTTGCCACCGTGTCATGGCTTTCCATGCCTGTGAGACTCTCATGGGCCTTTTAGCCAGACCCGAATGCCCCAAGGGTTGATTCTGAGGCCAGAGTGCTGTTTGGGGCGTTTGCCATTCTATGAGTCTGCTGTGTGTCCTGCTTCCCCCGCTGGATCATTCTCTCCCTTTTAACTCTATCCTTCATTATTTGCTTACACTGGTCTTATTTGTGAAATCTCTTCGACACTTACCCTACCTTTTTGATCAGTTATGTACTTACACTTATCACTTTACCAAGTGCGCTGGCATTGGTACATCTAGAGCTAATTTGTATTTTCATTTGGGGTACCATCCCCTATCTCATAAAAGGGACTATAACATATGACAGCAGCCCTTTCTATTTTCAATGGCTTCTGGCCCATATTGGCCCTTCTCTCTGGCCTTTTCCCACATTCTTACCTCCCAGGCAACTCTCTGGCCTATGGCAGATATCTGTCCATTTGGAGTTTCCCACACTCACATGGGGATAAATACTTACTCTCTCACTTTGAAAGAAGCCCTGATCTCACTTATGCCTTTACTTATGTCTTTGCTTTGAGTTCTTATCTCCGTGAGGACAAGAACATGAATTAAAATTGTGATTCATGTTGCCATTATACTACCACAACACCCTTTACCAGTATGGGGGTTATGCTAAAGGAGTAATCATTAAAAGAAATTTTTTAAAATCTGTAGCAACAATTCACTTCCTGCCAAAATATGGAGGTTGACCGTCTCCACTCAAGAACCATGTCTGATAATCTCGTCTGCTTCCTATCATCAGAAGAGGAGGAGCGTTTGAGTTATGGATGCTGTGATGGCTAGAAGTCCAAATTATATTACAGACACTGCTAAGAAAATAAATGTCAGTGTTGCCCAATTTACCCTGCTACTTGAAGTCCTATCAACAGGAATAGAGGGAAATACCCTATGAATCTGCTGACCAAGGCTTTTGTTTTGCTGAATGACATCCTCAGTATACGTTCAACAGTGAAAGGAAATGAAAGAACTCAAAGGTTCCTGCCTAGATTCACAGATCTACTTACACAATTCCAACAATTCCTCCCTCTTTGATTCTGCTTTTTGTCTCACCCATATCACTACCTTACGTGGATTGTTGATTCCACTCTTTAGATGATGTGACTGAGTTTCAAACCCTGTTGTTCTCACACTTTCACTTCTCTGTGACACAGTATGTATAATGGCTTTATAAACATCTCCGCTATCTGCTGTGCACTCTCATGCTAGCTAGATTTTCTAAGTTTTGCAAATACATTATGTATCTGTGAATAAATTAATTTAGTTCATCCACATATCTATATTCTATTATTCTATTTTGCTTTCATAATAGAGAAATATGTTGCAAGTCATTTGTTTGCTTGGTTTTGATACAAAACTTTTTCTTAGATTTTTGCCCCCTCATAAAGCATTTTGAAGCTTGATTATGGTAAACTATTTACACTTCATCAGTATAATCTCTAACATAGATTTATTATATAGAGTAATGAGCTTGAAAAGCACTCTAGAAGAAGGAAGGTGTACCAATAAGACCAAAAATAATACAGCATATTAAATAAAGATAACTTTGGATCCATTCTTACCTATCTTCAAAGCGTTCACCTGTATTTTCCAAACTTGAGATATGTGCAGCCCATAAATGTTTCAACATGGCATCAAAGCTACCAGAAGGTGACTGCAAATACTAAAGAAAAAATAGATATTTGAGTAACTGTAACAGTTCCTATCTATAAAATTCAGTCTTGTTCAAAGGCATGATTTAGCACTATTCTATATAAAAGGATAATTTTGATTCTAACAATTCATAAAGGACACAAAAAGTACTGATTATTTCTACTAATAACACATACATATGGAAAAAATGAACATCAAATATGGACTCTTACATAATATTCAAAACAGTTCTTATTTTATCCAGGCCAGGAGATCTTTATTTTTTTCTACTTATATTGTAGAAATTACCATAAAATCATACATGTAAGATGAAGAAAATTATTAGGATGCTTAATTTAATTATAGCTAAAGTAACTAATTAATAATGTAAAGAACTTGTAAGTCTATATTTTCATCATTGATTTCAGTCTTTGTCTATGCTTACCTGTTGTATTTTATTTGATGCAATAAACATTCAGATTAGAACAGCATATAAATGCTTAGTTCTACCCACTTGTGATCACTTACCAATTGAACTGATAAAAGTAAAACCAATTCATTTATTACATTTCTTCCCAATTCTCTCAATTGACTTGAAAATTCAAGTAACCAGAACAACTTGTTTAGTAATCAGCAAAAGATCCTATATGCTTCAGGGCCGGTGCTGTGGCGTAATGGGTAAAGCCGCTGCTTGCAGTGCCTGCATCCTATATGAGCGCTGGTTCTAGTCCCTGCTGCTCATCTTCCAATCAAGCTCCTTGCTATGGCCTGGGAAAGCAGTGGAAGATGGCCCAAGTCCTTGGACCCCTGCACCTGCGTGGGAGACCTGGAAGAAGCTCCTGGCTCCTGGCTTTGGATCGGCACAACTTTGGCCCTTGCAGCCATCTGGGAGTGAACTAGTACAGAAGATCTCTCTATGCCTCTGTAACTCTGCCTTTCAAATAAATAAATAAATCTTTTTTAAAAAAAATCCTATATGCTCAACATTTGTGTATAATTTATTTGAGGTGAGCAGGATGGATAGACCTTGTGTGAATGGCGTATCCAGGCAGTGGGTGTTAAAGACCTGCAATTCTCTGCTACATTACCTATTATTAAGCAATTAATCAATTTGCATTTTAGTATTATGGAAAACATTATACAGTGCCTAAAATCTCTGAGACAAGAAATGTTATACAACAAAAACTCCTCTAGACTTCTCCTAACTATATAAATTATAAAACTTAAAGGCAGAACCTGGTAAAACAAAGTCCACTTGTTCATTTTCTCAGGGAAGGATGAGTGACAGCTAGAAACATCATAACAAAACTTCATCTGATCCTTGAAAGGTGGCAAAAGGGTAACTTGGTCTGATGATACTCCCAAAATGCCAGAATCAACTGCAGCAAGGAAGGGCAATGCACTCAGAAAATAATTCACATCTGTAAGAACAGAAGACTTATTATTACTGGAAACAAATGTCAAAGAAGATTTTAAAAGGAAGTTATAAGTCATCAAGGAAAGACCTAGAGATCCAGACATGTGTGATTGAAGTTAAAGACTAGGAAAAAATAAATCGCATGAAATTCCCATGAATATCACATATCTACTTTAACTTGCTTCTGAAACTGTGTGTAATCATAAATATGTATGATCTTAAGTACTTGGCTAAAATAAAATAAAAGATAGAATAATTTTAATGGCATTGTTAATACTTATTTTTCAAGTTAGTGAATAAGAAAAGAAAAAAAGCTGTCAAATTGTCCACAAAATGTGACAAGTGGGGCTTTAGTGCAGTTTTCTAGAAATTCTAACATGTTCACAGCTTTGGTAAATAGATATTACCTATTTTACATATGTAAATTTAATTTGTGTTCATGATACCACAAAGTCCTTGCCTGATTCTATGTCTCTAAAGCAAAAATTTTGGAAAAGTTCTGTCAATAAGCTATTTGATAATTGAGTTGACAGTCAAACAAGACTCTTCTTAAAATGTCTACCTACAGATAATCTACTCCACCAGATTTATTTTGATGTCAAATTACTGATTACCCATGGAAGTCAGTGATGCAGAATGTTCATCATAGAAATGCATTGTAAATGCTAACCTCTACCCCATGCAGAGGCTTATCTCACCTACTAATCAGTCCAAGAACAAGAGTCTGGTTTCTACATTTATGGTCACTACTAATGGTGGGTCTTTAGAAAGAATGACTTAGGATACCATGAAGAAAACACAGGTGTAATGATGTATGTCACTCTGAGGAAATGAAACAGCATTGTCTGGTTTGTAAGTGTTGGAATTGATCACTAAGAAAGTAACTAAGTAAGTTACTTTCATTACTAAAGCATAAAATTAATTTAAACATTAGAAAATGCCCTCTGGTTACTTTAGCATTAAGTATACAACTGAAGCTTTATATTACTGATTGGTAAATGACTTGCATGAGTATCAATCTCTGAGAGATTATGAATGTCAATGTCAAACACAACCTCCTGGTGTCTCACTACTCATCTTCCCTCATTCCACCGTTTTCTTTTCTCTACTGAGAACTCCCACTTAACTGAGTGCTGATCCCTCAGAGGCTACGCTCCATGGCAGTTCAGTGCTTGTTTCAGCCCTTCTGTGAAAAGCTGAATATGTCATAAGGAATCATGATTTATGTTTTGGTTCTTAAATCCTATTCAGTCACATAAAGGACATAAGGGGCATGGTGAATTTAATTTCTTTTAAAAATTGAGCATAACTGTTTTAGTTTTGTCTCTGTCCATATGTTGTTTAGCTGATTGCTTTCTTTGGAGAGAGTTAGTATCCATTTTGCTATGTAAATGAACCTACCAGCCCACCAGCTGTCCACAGAAATGCACAAATGATCTCCAGATGCATAGCCACAGTGTGTGCGTCGGCTGGGATCAGCTAGTCTACCTGGAGGAGAGAGGAAGTAGACGGGCTCACTAAACACATTTGGAAACTACTTGGAACAATTTGTTTATTCAAACATTTAGGTCTGAATGACTTGTCATCATTTTCCCATCACCATTTACCTTTCGTTTCCTGTATCTCAGCCAATTTCTCTTTTCCTTAATACCACCACATTGCTACTTTTAAATTATAGGTAATAAGTGTTCTTTCCTTCTATAAGTATTTGCTCTTCTATTTCATCTCCACATGCTCAGAAATTTTGGCATCCACAAAAAACAAATCCCTCTTCATCATTATTAGTTGGACTTTGTCTAAATAACAGTTTATATCTATGTTTCATTAACTAACGGGAATAGGTAGGTAACAGGCACCAATCTCTCTCTGAAATCAGCTAATCTGCCTAGAGGGAAAAGGATGTAGTTGGGTTAACTTTGCACATTTTGAAACTGCTTATAACACTTTCTTTACAAAAATGTATTTCTGAATGACTTGTGTTGGTATTAAAGGACCATGAACTTCTGTCAGATATAACAAAGCATCTACCTACAGATAATGTCTACCTACAGATATAACAAAGCATCATTTTATCCATGAGTATTTTTTCAAAATACTTCTGTCTGTGCAGTGTAATATTCCAAGTTTCTAAGAGACTATAAACAATGTGCAGTTCATTTGTAAAACATATCCATCATCCGATAATCACAATGTAGCTTCTAGAAATATTACGTAATTTGACATCACCTGTTGTTTTTAATAGATATTCCTTTCACTGTTATGTTCATCTTAGGACTTACAAAGGAGTATACTTCTACACTAAGTAGGAGTGCAGTAAATATTTGTAAAAATGCTCAATAGGGGCCAGCATTGTGGTGCAGTGACTAAAGCCAGAACCTGCAACACCAACATCCTGTGTGAGCACTAGTTCAAGCTCTGGAGGTTATACTTCTGATGCCACTCCCTGCTGATGTGCCTGGGAAAGAAGCACAAGATGGCCCAGGAGCATTGGCTCCCGTCATCCATATGGGCAATCCACATGGAGTTCCAGGCTCCTGGCCCAAACCCAGCCATTGTGGTCATGCAGAGAGTGAACCAGTGAATGGAGGATCCCTCTCTCACTGTAATTCTGCCTTTCAAATAAATAAATCAGTCCTTAACAAACAAAAAGAAATAATAGATCAGATGTGATGTCTTGTGATTGGTAAGTATGCTTTATCACTCAACTGCAGTTTTTAGTAGAAATAGGCAATCCGTTTAGGGAGAATTTATGTATGAGCAGAAAAATAAAGATTATAAGGCAAAAAGAGGGAAAGAAAAAGAACCAACTTAAAAAAAATATGATAGAAAGAGTCCCATTTTCCAAATACATTGTAGTTATATGGATAGATCATTAGAATGAGAAAGGAGGCATTCTTACCTGTACTATATTGCCAGCCATGCTGCAAACACAATCCCCATAAAATATTTTGTTCATTCTCTGATCCAAATTTTGAAAAATACCTGGCCGTCTGGTTCAGTAGGATTTTATACATGCCCATTCTCTCATGGTATACCCAGGCATCAATAATGTACATATTGTTCTCCACATGGAAGTCACTGAACTGACCAGGACTCTCCTCCCAGAGAGGAGGATACAGATCCGAGAGATTGGAAGCTCTTGCTAAAGAAGCAGTAAAGCAACCAACTAGTACCTGACCCCAGAAAGAAAGGAAAGCCATTGTGCCAAAGCTGGGGACTGAGTTGTGCCAGGGCTCTTATTGCAGAAGAGAGCTGGAAGTCAGGATATTTTCTTACATCATAGTTTACCAATACTTTTTCTTCTTTGTCTGGGATAGGCTGAATAGGTAAAGGAAGTCAGTATATTAGCTGGGATTTAAGGTGTTTTAATGCTGATTCAGTGTCAGAACATTGTATAAAACTGAAACATATAAAGTTCCTTTATAAAATGTTGAGTAAAATTATTTGCTGAATAAACCTTCCTCAAATTTCCATGCCTACATTTCTACTAAAACTGTGTCACCAACAACATAAAATGCTTCTGTCTCATAAAAAACAACATGTTAACATATTTTAGGAGGAAAAGCCACAGCTACAGACCAAATCAAGCAGAAGAAATAATATCTGAACTTCAAGGCAGATATTTACAATTTTCTCAGTCAGACAAAAACAAAAAAAGGAATAAAAAGATCCTCTGAGATATTTTAGATAACATAAAATGAACAAATATTAATTTTATGCATCCTATAATGAGAAGAGAGGTTTAAGGCATACAAAATCAATTCAATAAAATAGTAACTAAAAACATCACCAATCTTGAGAAAGATATGGAGTTTCACGTAAAGGAGGCCCACTGGGTGCCAAATGGACATAGCCAGAAAGATTCCTATGATGAACTACAATAAACAACATGTCAAAAGTAAAAAGCAAAGACAGAATTCTGAAGACTGTAAGAGAAAAGTCACCTTTAAGAGAATCTACATTATATTAACAGATATTTATTAATTGATTGAAACCTTACTGGCCAAGAGGGATTTGGAGTGATATATTCAAATGTCTGAAAGAAAAAACAAATTATAATCTTGAAAGCTATACCCAGCAAATCCATCCTTCATAACTGAAGAGGAGAATAAATTTCCAAACAAATCTTGAAGAAATTCATCACGACCAGAAAAAGGCTTAGAAAATACTCTTAAAGAACCTAACATATAGGAACAAAGAAATCTGATTATCAAGATAAACACACTCACACACACACAGTACAAAAGTCACCAGATAAAGAACAAAAGATATTTGAGATAAACAGAAAAATTTTTAACTATAGAACTATCATTACTTATCAGTGATAACCTTAAATGCAAACAAACTAAATTCACTAATTATAAGATTTAAACTTGCCGAATGCATAAAAAGCAAGACCTGTGGGGAGCAACTCGGACTAGACTAAGTTACTGGAATTAAGACTTATTCTATGCATCTGCTCTCCCACAATATGGCGCTAAGAAGGGAGAAACAGCTTCTACACAGCTGCCTCCAGTTCAACCAATAAACTGTAGGACCTACTCCTGATTGGAGGAGAGCAGCATACTCGGCGTGTGGGTAGCAGAGTTGGGATTGGTGGAAGAGGACTATAAAGGAGGAGAGAGACAACATGCACCAGGAACATCTAAGGGGAACATCTATCTGAAGGAACACCTGTGCAGCCCCCGAGAGAGCCGGCCGGCGGTGTGCCGCTCCCCCGCGGAAGTGGGGAAAGTGGCCAGGGGGAACCGCCCTTCCACGGAGGTGGAAGGGACGGTAGCCAACCCGGGAAGAACCAGCAGCAAACCCGGGGAGGGCCGAGCAGACGAAAGAACAACGCAGGGTCCTGTGTTGTTCCTCCACGAAGAGGGGGAGCGACATAATGGTGCCGTGACTCGGATAGGAAGCCTAGGCAGGGTTTAGTGTCGTTCCCCCATGAAGACGGGGAGCGACATAATGGTGCCGTGACTCGGATAGGAAACTTAGGAGGGAAGAAACGGGAAGAAGTGGGAAAATACCGGAGAGAGAGACTAGCAAAGAGCCTAGGGAAAAGCCGGACAGAAAAGGTGCCGGAAGAAGCTATCGAAAGCCTAGGCATAGACTCGGATACGGACTGTGGGAAAGAAGTTAGGATTTAAAGTGAAAGCAAGAAGAAACTTAGACTCAGATATGGACTGCAGGTTGAAAGTGAAAGTGAAACCTATAAGAAACTTAGACTTGGATATGGACTGTGGGGAGAGGCCAGGAGAAATGAGGGAGGAATATTGTTGGAAGAAAACTTAGGGAAACATACCGGGTAGAGAAAAATGTTAGGGAGGATGAAGCCGCGAGTGCAGGCCGAGGCGGAGACATAAGCTATCTTGGAATTCGTCGAGTCAGCCCAGGGAGCAAAAGGCAAAAAGTTAAACCAGAGGCGGAAACGTGGGCCAGGTTGGAATCCGTCAGATTAGCCCGGGGAGCAAAAGACGGGAAGCCAAACCATAAGGCGGAAACGTAAGCTATAGGTTGAATTCGCCAGGTTAGCCCGGGGAACTTAGATTGAATGCTAGTGGCGGAAACGTAAGCTACGCTGTGTGACTCGCGGAAGCCGCCGCATGCAGAGAGAGCACGGGGCATGAATAGATAGGGAACGTGGGGCTAGTGCGAGGCCATGGTGTGGGCGCGAAGGGGCGCGGAGACCGCGGAGTGCGCGCGCGAAGCCGGGAAGCCGCGCAGCCGCGCAGATGAGAGAAGCGTGGGCTGAAGCAGCTCAGAGCTGGGAAGCCGCCGAGAAGCAGCCTCGGGGCAGGCCCCAGGAAGCCGCGGGAAGTTTAGAAGTAAAATGAGAGAAATAGGAATGCTGGCAGATAGAAGTAAAATGGGAGAGATAGGAATGCCCGGAGGTAGAGAAATAGAAAAAAATAAGGCCTCCCCTCAACATGGCAATGAGAGAGCTTGGATTCAGTCTGCCTGATTAGGCGATAAGCACCAGCAGGCAGCTCGACCAGAGTATGAGCTGCAGGTCACCAAAGATAGGCACGAATCAACACCAATAAGTCTCCCCACAATACGGCAATGAGAAGGCTTGGATTCGGTTTGCCTGATTGATAGGGCTTGTAAGCACCTGCAGGCAGTTCTAGCAGAGCAGAGCATGCGCTGCGGGGCACCGAACACAGGCACACATCAGCGCCTAAAAACCTCCTCACAACATGGTGAAGAGAGGACCCGGATTTGGTTTGCCTGATTGGTAGGCTTGTAAGCACCTGTGGGCAACTCTAGCAAGCAGAGCAGAGTGTGTGCCGTGGGGCACCGAAGACAGGCGCGTATCAACGCCAAAAATAAAAAGAAAGGGGGATCTGTGGGGAGCAACTCGGACTAGACTAAGTTACTGGAATTAAGACTTATTCTATGCATCTGCTCTCCCACAATATGGCGCTAAGAAGGGAGAAACAGCTTCTACACAGCTGCCTCCAGTTCAACCAATAAACTGTAGGACCTACTCCTGATTGGAGGAGAGCAGCGTACTCGGCGTGTGGGTAGCAGAGTTGGGATTGGTGGAAGAGGACTATAAAGGAGGAGAGAGACAACATGCACCAGGAACATCTAAGGGGAACATCTATCTGAAGGAACACCTGTGCAGCCCCCGAGAGAGCCGGCCGGCGGTGTGCCGCTCCCCCGCGGAAGTGGGGAAAGTGGCAGGGGGAACCGCCCTTCCACGGAGGTGGAAGGGATGGTAGCCAACCCGGGAAGAACCAGCAGCAAACCCGGGGAGGGCCGAGCAGACGAAAGAACAACGCAGGGTCCTGTGTTGTTCCTCCACGAAGAGGGGGAGCGACAAAGACCCAATAAAAATATTGCCTACAAGAAACTCACTTCAACAGTAAAGACACACAGACTGAAAGTGAGAGAGTGGAAAAAGATATTCCATGCAAATAGGACCCAAAAGGGAGCAGTAGTAGCTACACTTATGTAGTAAATATAAAGACAAAGTCTGTATCAACATATATGTTAAGTCACTAAATGATGACCAAGGGATCAATTCAACAAGAAGATATAACAATTATAAAAATATATTCACCTAATTCCAGAGCACCTAACTGTGTGAAACAAACGTGAGTAGACCTAAGTAGAGAGACAATCTCCAATATAATAAAAGTGAGATACTTCAGCACCCGACTTTAACCAATGGAAAGAAGTTCCAGACCCTAAAAGAATTTAAACAAGGAAACATCAGTTTGAACTATTCTGTATTTCAGTGAAGCATGTTGTTCAGTCTCCATGTACATGTATGATTTCTCGAGTTTCTTTTGTTGTTGATTTCAAATTTTATTCCTCTATGGTCAGAAAAGATAGATGATATTTTAATTTTAAAAATGTACGACAACTTGTTTTGTGGTCTAATATATGGTCTAACTTGGAGAATGGTCCATGTACTTATGAAAAGATTAAATGTTCTGTACCCACGGAATAAAACAATCTATAAATGTTTGTTATGTCCACTGAAATAAAGACAAAAATACAAAATATCAGTGAAATGATGAGCTGGTTGTTTGAATAAGCAAAATTGATAAACCTTTAGCTAAACTAAGAAAAAAAGACTCACAGATTAAAAAGGAGAGATCACACAGATACACAAAGATACACAAAAGAGTAAGAGTTCATTTGGCATAATTAAGAATAACTACATACCAACAAATTGGAAAATCTAGAAAAAATGGAAATACTGTTGGATATATATAACTTAACCAAAGTTGAACCAAAAGATGTAGATAACATGAACACACCAATAGTAAGTAATGAGATTGAGACAGTAATCAACAATCTCCTAACAAAGAAAAAAAGATAGGAGATTGTTTGTTGGAGATGTAAAAGGAAATATGATAATTGATGCCACAAAAATTCAAAGGATCACTAGGTAATATTATAAACAACATTATTTCAACAAATTGGGAAACATAAAATAAATGGATGACTTCTAGATACACATAACTAAACCAAACAATGAAGACAGAAAACCTGAACAAATGAGTAACAATGAGATTGAATCAGTAATTAGTAGTCTCCCAACAAAGAAAAGTCCTGTATCAGAAGTTTTTCTACCAAACTTTTAAAGAAGGGCTAATACCAGTTCTTCTCAAATTATTCCAAAAGATTGAAAGGGAGAGAACTCTACCAAACTCATTCCAAAATCATATAAGAACATAACAGAATAGAGAAAATC